TTTTTTTTTTTGTTGAGAAGACAGATGAAATGCTCATAGATTAACCATGGTCGAATGATTTTCAATTTCACCTGATCTAATTGGTTTAGGATTGTCAATAATGCAATTTTTTTTTTTATGGTCTTAGATTCATACCATATTATGTAGATAGTTGATGATGAGATCAATAAATGGTCAACGAAGATACTTTCGTTTCTAAAATTAATACAGCAGAAAAAGAAACAAAAATCTTCAAAGTTCTAATTAAAACACGTAGACATGCACTGTCATGCAGCATGACATGATAACTTCACTTGGCTTACCTTGAGCGCCTTGGAAACTTCGACCTGATGGATCTCTTTTACCACGCTTCGGATCTGATCGTGCGATGCTCAGCTTCTTCCCAAGTAGTGTCTGCTTGGTCTTTGCCACGGCAGCAGCAAGGTGTGAATCATCTGAGAAATCCACATATGCAAGACCCTTCACAAGAAAGGTTTAAAAGAAAAAGTAGGGGTTCACTGAGATCATAGAAGAATGGAATCAATAAAAATAAACGGATGAGAGAAAATTATATGTAAATGGATAGATAGATATGTGTGTGCGTGTGCATACAGACACAGATACATTTAGATAGAGAGAGAGAGAGAGACCCTTGATTTTCCAGTGAATTTGTCACGCAGTATTCGGATACCAACTACTCCACCAACGTCACTGAAAAATTTGCGTAGATCTTCTACATTTGCCTGCAAAAAATCTGGTCACTATCATGATTAATCAGCTCAAGACATACAAGATACTGCTAGTAGTTGGAATGCGTACTTGCCTTCAAGTGAAGGTTCGATATGAATGCAGTGCACTGGTCAGTGTATACTCTTGCTTTCTCGGGAATAGAGTCTTTGGTCTGTTCCTCTTTTTTGATATCTGGTTCGTTTGCCTGGGTTTTGATCTCTTCCCTTTTATTTTCTTCATCCAACTTCTGCAGCTGTGCTTTGTCTTTCTCATGCACTTTCTTTAGGTTGTCTCCTGCATCTTTTTTCCTCTTTGCCGGAAATTGCTCATCGGCTATGTCTGAGACAGGCTTTCTCTTTTCTCGAATATTCTTCTTAGAAATATTCTCCCTCTCTGCCAATTTGGATTCTTCTCGTGATCTAAACAACTGCAACTCTTCCAGCCGGTGGGAAACCTGGAAAAAAATTTCCGTTTTTTGTTGTACTTTCTTCATGCTTAGACGTTGGTGCAGTACCGGGAAGAGAGTTATAAGGTTACTAAAACTGAGAACTAACAACAAAATCCCCACTTGATGCAATAAATGCCTTGAAATACAAAAGTACGCACACAACTAAACAAATGAAAGAGAGTACCAAGCGACAAGGTTTAAGAAGGAATTGCTTAATACAGAAGATCGAGCTTACCCTTTGTGCTGCATGATCCAAATCCTCCAGTGTGCCGAACTCCCTTTCAAAGCGTAGCCAAGAGTGGCAGATGTCCTGAATGAATCTGCTTTTAGGAAGGGAAGGTATCATCTAATCCAAAACGCTTACACTCAAGTGAAATGCTTAAGCTTTCCTAACAATACTTTGGGGG